GCTCACTACAAGTGGTGAGTATCCAATAGATAATTATTACCAGTTCAATCTGATTAATTGCAATCCTGTGCAGCTTCAAAACAAGTTCAGGAAATTGTGAAAACATGTATTTGGCAATCTTTGAATTTCTTTATAATGCAGTGCACATGTTAAGGTGTTATTACTTGGCATTTCTTAGGTTTCAATTCTCGTACATATAACATCCTTCACAATTTTACATACAATCTGGCACTAACAGAACAGCAAATTACCATCTGAGTGAAAATTTACAGCATTTGATTCCAACTGGTCAGATTGCCTGATAAATGCCACAATCCCTATTCACAGCCACTTCAGAATTCTCGACGACCGGTGCAGAGACCACGCCTGAGACAGGGACTACAATATCAACTGCAGCATCAACAAGATCATCAGCATCAACAACTGAAAGCAGCTCCACTTCAACATCAGCAGCGGAATCAACAACAGTCTCAACATCACAGGGCACTACTACAAGTGGTCAGTGGCAGTGAATAACTCTACCTGTAAATTCAGTTGTATCACCTGCCGTACAAAACTGCATTACGAGCACTTCCAAGATTAACACAAAATATTACTGCAATTTCCTTCATTATTCTGAGAACAACTAATTTCTTCCCGATTCATGCTTCTAATTTACATTGCAGTGACATTACATACTGGACATTATAGAATTTTAAGGAGTGATTGCAGATAACTGCAAACTGTAAATTAGATCATGTTTGTTTGTCTCTTAAGATAACTTGATCTTAAATTACAATTATGCCATTAATTATTTCCACATGCTCATCAGAAACCTCAACTGCAAGTACAGTGACCACCACTGGAGTACCAAGTTCTACATCAACTCCTGCTTCCACAAGTACTGCAGAATCAACAGCCACAAGCAGCTCCATTACAATCCCTACAGTTGAATCCACAACAACTGCAACAACAGAAGGACTTACGACAACTGGTGAGAATCCGTTTCCCTGTATGATGCAATGTCATGCTTTATAACGTTCACCGATATTTGGACAATAAATTGAATTAAGAAGCAACAATTGCTTTTGCCAGTTAATAATGAATACCAAGTGTGAGGGTTAGATTTCCCAGACACCAAATGTAGCTTTACATCTCATTGTGAACAGAACAATACAGTTTAATAACCAAATGACATTTGTGAATACGGCTTTCCTTGTACACCGTCTCTGAATCGGGTGTCTTGCCTTTACTTCAGAAGCAGATACGTCAACTGCTAGTACAGAGACAAGCACTGCACAGGCAACCTCTTCATCAACTCTTGCATCAACGAGCACATCTAGTGCAACAAGCACCGCAAGTTCCACTCCAGCTTCGAAAAGCATCTCAACATCACCGCTCACTACAAGTGGTGAGTATCCAGTAGACAATTATCACCAATTACTTTCTGATTTTAATCTTAGGGAAATCAATCAATTTAATTCCCTGATTTGCTTCTGTCACAACATGCCAACATCACTGCGTGGACCATTTATGTTTATTTAATATGAATGCAATTTATAGCAAATTGTAAATTAATGCATTTCTTTGTTTACATGATTCTCAATTGATCGTTGTTCTGAAAATAAGCTGTTAATTTTTTCCACCTCTGCACCAGAAACTTCACTTACAAGTATGGAGTCCACCCGTGAAGTACTGAGGTCTACAGCACGTCTTGCACCATCAAATTCAACAGAATCAACAACTACAAGCAGCTCTCGCCCAACGGCTGCAGTTGCATCTACGACATCTGAAACAACACAAGCTTCAACAAGAACTGGTGGGAATTTTGTTACCTTTTTGTTGCAATGTGTTTCCTTGAATGATAAAGCTGTATTTGAAGTATAAACTGTTGTAACTGTGCCAATGATGGTGTTTTTCTTGTCTTTAACAAGATAATGACTGGAATAATGGTTTGTCAGATTTTCCTTTTCTTTGTCTTTGCCAAATGTGTTTGTCCATGTAGCCTTTATGTGTAGTTGTTCACCAATCATTTCAACTTGGAACTCAATGTAATTTTCTGATCATTGTGGTCCTGACTCAAATGATAATATTGTGATACTCCATCATTATGGTGCTTTCTTAAACATAGTAATGTAAAGAAGTTGCAGATGTTGCTTAATGCTTTCCCTGCTTTAAATTTGATCCATTTCTTCCATTGAGTAATTTGCATGAAACAAAAATATAAATGTCCAACAGCAGCTTGTGTGTGAATTTTGTCTTCTTTATGTTTGATTCTAAGTTGCCAGTTCATTTCAAAAATGTCACTCCTCACTTCCACAGTCATATCAGAAACTCTAACTACCAGTGCAGAGACCATCAGTGCAATTGTGACTACAACATCAACTCCAGCATCAACTAGTTCAACACCACAAACAACTGAGAGCAGCTCCATTTCTACATCAACATTGGAATCAACTCCAGTTTCGGTGCAGGCCAGTACAACAAGTGGTGGGTATCCAAGTACACTTATTTTTTATTCTTCAATTAGTCCTGCTCTCAATTTGTAGCAGCAGTATGTCATCCTACCAAAGTAATCTCAATACACCTCAGCTTTCATGCTTAAGTCCATTAGATTATGAGATAGACCCATTAATTTAATTATTTACTTTGTTTCTTTTGTTTTGCTGAAATGTATCCACACAATATATCAGGCTATTTGAACTAGGTCTAAATGTTTGCGAATTGGAACAGTTTGCATATTAATTAATATTTCTGTTCTAATGCAATAGTTATGATTCAGCTCAATTATATCATTCGTTATTTCCTCTGCAACCTCAGGAAACACAACTGCAAGTACACACACCACTACAAGGGCACCAAGTTCTGAACTGTCTCTCACATCAACAAGTTCATCAGCACCAACAACTGAAAGCAGCTCCACTTCAACATCAGCAGCGGAATCAACAACAGTCTCAACATCACAGGGCACTACTACAAGTGGTCAGTGGCAATGAAAAGTTTTTTCTGTTCAATCAATTTTATTCGTTTGCATACAAAACAGCAGTATGTCCATGTGCTAGTTTAAACTCAAAATATTACTGCTTTATTCTCCATGACTGTGAACAAATTGCCTGTGGCTTGAATTATGCCTTTACTTATCCTCACAGCATCAACTGAAACCTTGACTGCAAGTACCCAGGCCATCTTCACAGGACCATCCTCTACATCAGCTGCTGCATTGACAAGTACTACAGCAGCAACAACTGCAGAAAACTCTACTGAAGCACTTAGAACTGAATCAACTACAATGACAGCAACAACACTCACTACAAGAGGTAACTTCAGAATGTATTTGCATCACCAGTTGCATTTTTATTTTTTTTAACCTAATTCCCATTCTGAATACTGAATGATATAATAGTTGAATTTTGTTGTTTTGTTCTGTTATTCCCAATATAATCCAGGACAAAACCGTATGCTTGCAATTTGCCTGTTCGCTGTTATTGCATCATTATCTTATGAAGTAATTTTCATTAGATCCAAATGTGAATGGAACATTAAGGTTTTCTCTTCATGCAGAAAAATACTGATGTTCAAAACTTACTCTTTATGCCACCAATAGAAGCTCCTCAAAATGATAGTATATTTCAGTCATACGCGCACTTGTGCCTGTACTGTGGCACATACCCATCATATCTGATCTGATGCTCCTCTGATGCTGCCTGGCCTGCTGATGTTCCTCCAGCTCCACACTGCATTGTCTCTGACTCCAGCAGCTGCAGTTCTTGCTGTCTCTGATTTTGGTGTGTGGTGCTTTAACATGAAAAATTCCAAGTCTGGAGAAGATTCCGCCAAACTCTGAAGAAGAGCTCCGAAGCAAAATGTTACCTAATTTGATCTGCACTTTGTGGCACCTCCTCATGGCTCAGAACAGCACCTGTACCCACATACAGATCATTTCAGGATTCAGCTAATCAGAGATGCCACAAAGATAGGTGGAGGTGCAGGTAGTGTTGAGGAAGTTGGCAGGTTGCAGGAAACTTGGACATGCTGAGTGAGTGAGCAAAGAAGTGGCAGATGGAATACAACGTGGGAAAATGTGAAGTTATGCACCTTAGTGAGAAGAATAGAGGCATAGTCTATTTTCTAAACAGGGAAAGGCTTCAGAAATCTGAAGCACAAAAGGACTCGGGAGTCCTCATTCAGTATCGGTTGACATGCAGGTTCAGTTTGGTTGGCAAATGCAATGTTGGCATTAATTTCAAGAGGGCTAGAAGGGGTGGCACAGAGATTCAGTGGTTAACACTGCTATCTCACAGTGCCAGGGACTCTGGTTCGATTTCAGCTCCAGTGACTGTCTGTGTGGAATTTGCACATTCACCCCATGTCTGTGTAGGTTTCCTCCCACAGTCTAACGATGTGCAGGTTAGGTGGATTGGCCAGGCTAAATTGCCCATAGTGTCCAGGGATGTGCAGGCTGAGTGGGTTGGCCATGGGAAATGCAGGGTTATGGGGATAGTGGGTGTGGGTGGGAAGGGTGGTGTGGACTCGATGGGCCGAATGGCCTACTTCCACACTGTAGGGATTCTATGATTCTACGATATGACCAGAGTTGTGCTGCTGAGGCTGTATAAGGCTCTGATTGGATGCATTTGGAATATTGTGAGCAGTTTTGGTCCCTGTACCCAAGGAAGGGTGTGCTGGAGTTAAAGGAGTCCTGAGGAGGTTTACAAATATGATCCTAGGAATGAAGCCCTTGTCATATGAAGAGTGACTAAGGACTCCAGCTCTGTATTTAATGGAGTTTAGAAGGATGAAGGGGATCTGATTGAAACTTACAGAATACTGAGAGGCCTGGATAGAGCAGATGTGGAAATGTTTCCGCTAATAAGACAGACTAGGAACTGAGGCACAGCATCGGAGTGAAGGGACAACTCTTTAGAACTGTGATAAGGAAGAATTTCTTCAGCCAGAGGGTGGTGCATTTGTGGAACTCATTACCGCAGAGGGCTGTGAAGGTGAAGTCATTTAGCGTACTTAAGAAAGAGATAGAGGTTTTTAATTTGTAAGAGATCAACAGTTATGGGGAGAAGGTAGGAGAATGGGATTGAGAAACTTATCAGCCATGATCAAATAGCACAGCAGACTCACTAGGCTGAACAGCCTAATTCTGCTTCTTTATTTGATGGTCTTATGATCATTTGATCACAGTAGTGTAGTGTATAACATCATATAAAATCTTTAGACTAAATAAGACTGACCCATGAATACTGGCATAATAATCTGAATCTTCTTTTGTGTGCAATAGAATCATCCTCAGCAGAAACTACTTCAATATCTGTTCAAACCTCAACAAATTTCCCTGTCACAAGCTCAGCAGCAACAGCGACCACCAGTGAAACATCCACAACAAACACAACCCACCTACTGACAGGTACAGACTGGAACAAATTGTGAGATAATGAACAGTCATTTTTCTGCCAGCACCAATGATGTATAGATGTTTCACCCAGCTTGATTTTTTTCTAAAGTGTATATTTTTAATACCATTATTCAAAATATGAACATCAATTTTAAATATCCCTAAGTTTTACGGAAGAGATAGGGTAGTGTGTACCCTAAGAAGTCCTCACACACCTAGTTGGTTAGTGGAATGACTGGGCTGGATGGCCAATTGACCTGAAACATTTGCAGACTGAGCCTTGTTAACACTGGGCTCTGGCTGCAATAGGCCAGCCTGCCTGCTCAAGCCCATCTTACTGTCATCCGGCCCAGTCACCCTCAGAACTAGGAACAGAAACATTCATGAGGGCTTTTAGATCAGTCAAGAAAGACAATGTGACAAAAGAACTTGTCAGCTCTGCCAAGTCAGGGAGGGAGCAGGGCAGTAATTCCTACATCCAGGGCATTTTTGAAGATGGGGTTCCCCATGCGCACATACATCAACCTGTCCAGTCCTGATATTCATTTTAAGAGCTGAAATAGCTGCACAGAGACAAGTATCCCATCACCAAATCACCTTTTATTTATGTGTGGAATGTCCTTGACACTGGTCCAGCTCCCTCACAGCCAGCTCTCAGAGTGTGAAAATGTCTGGCAATCCGGTTTTAACAGTCAGCCAGGGCTTCCTGATTGGACTAGATTAACTCCCCCAATCAGAGAATTCATATTCTATGAGGTCAATCTAGTTGACCTCATTAAAATCATTACAAGAGCAAATCTATATTGTCATCCTTACTTAAATGAAGCTAAGTGTTTTTCATCAAATTTTACTTGCACCTCTTTCTTTTACAGTTGAACCCCCCATTGTGCCTGAAACTGACAAGCCAATTCAAACTCAAACAAAAAAATTTAACGTAACCTTCATTGTGCTTTCACTGCCATTCACACCAGTTCTCCAAAATCTCACTTCCCCATTATACCTGGCTGAGTCAAGAAATATTATTGAGAAGGTAAGCAGTATATCTAAGAGAAGAAGGAAGAATGGATTATATTTCATTTTGATTCTTGTAATAAATACTTTTTTTAAAATTTCCTACAGCTCAATAATCTGTATGCAAACAGCAAAGTAAATTCAACATTCTTGGATTGTCAACCATTATCTTTTAGGTAAGCAATTACATTTTACTGCAGAAGTTGCTAATTACAATGATGGCACTCCTTACATCAATTCAATAGATCTGCATTTTATTGGAATCCCATAAAGCAAATTACATTAGAAAAAAATCCTTTTCTTTTTGTCACACTCTGATGATGCAATTCCCTCACTGCAATAATATGATCCCCACACTTACAGTCTTCTGAATTTTCATTTCACTCATTCACTGGATGTGGGCATCATTGACTTTGCGTTCCGTGGTAAACTTCCTGATATTGAATAACCTTTGCCTGAATTGTACAAAATGGTGCACAACGCTGATTGTCTTTTCAAATGCCATGTAATGTAATTAAATTTTAAAAAAATGCGCTCAGACGATTTCAGAAATCATTTCTTCAAACAGAATGAATTAATGTTTACAGCAATTCGATTATTTAGTATTTTTGTTGATGATGTTGTAACAAATTAATCACCTGGTATTTGTGTGTGACAGATCTGCAAATGATGGTAACAGTACAGTTGAAGCATTCTGTAATTTTATAAAGAGTGCCAATGGCCAGCAAGTTGATGAAGTTCAACTCTACCATGAATTCCGAGACAACACACAAGGCATCACCAGCTTAGGAAACTATTCATTGGACAATAACAGCCTCTATGTAGATGGTACATACTCATTTTCATGAAATATTTTTGACATATTTTTACTCACACTGTAACCAGTTAACACTCTATTTTATCGTAATTTTCAAATTGAAATGTGATCCTGCCACCATCTGTTTTGCTCAAGATGTTCTGTCCTACCAATCCCCTGGTACGCTCTGACCCCTGGATTGCCAGTTCCTTGTCATTCCCAGTCTACTCTTTCTCACAATTATTATCTGCTGCGTCATTCCTAATCTAATGTCTCTCATGCTCCGACCTGCAACCTGCCATTCACTCCCTATCTGCTGCATCTCACTCATGCTTGACTTCTTTTATCCTTATCCTGCTGACACTTGTTTATTTACTCTCTGATCTTCAGGCTCTTGCTCACTGATTATGAGATCAAAGAGACAAAAACTTTCAAACATTTTATTAAAGATTAATTTTCATGCTGAGTCCTGATGGTGAGATTTTCTTTTAACATTTCAATGTCTTCAGCTTCAAGTCAAATTTGGAAAATCGTACCTAAGCTATCACCTGTACACAATACTGGAATTATTTATTTCTAAATTGTATTAATTCTATGGTATTAAAATATTTTTAATAAGCTTAAGTCATCTTTTTCAAATATATTTTCTTTTCCAGGTTATCATGAATCATCAGTTTTGACAAGTAAGTAAGATATTTATCTCTCAGTTAATACTACCCTTCAATATTTTTAGAAATGGGGGAACCAGTTTAACATATGATCTTTCAACATCTGGACCAGAATCATTTTGGGAAGATTTCTTCCATCTGCTAAGCACATCATAAGCACATTCTTTCCAGGTGATCTAAGGATTCTGTTAAAGCAAGTGCACAATAGATATTCTTAAAACATAAATCTAAAAATAATGAAAGTCAGCCATAGCCCCCAAGCACCTCTGGCTGTTCTGTTACAATAGGAAGGCAACTGATGCTAAGTTTAACATAAGGGCCAGCATGCTTTAAGCGATAACGAGAAATTGGGGCCTTCACAGTAAGTACAGCTGGTACAAGAATTGTACCCATGCTGTTGGTGCTACTCTGCATTGCAAACCAGCGGTCCAACCAACTGAACTAACCAAAACCCTTTTAAAAATAGTCGATACTGTTGCTGAAACATCTGGTGAGTAAGATAATTCATCACTGAGTCTATATAACTGGAAATCTAGGAGACCCTGGATTTAAAATCTGGGACCTGTTTACTTATTACAAACACTACCTGGTAACTGCACCTATTATACAAGGATATTCCTCTCTGTGCTGAAAAAGAACCGTTTAATAATAAAATCCCAAAAATTCAACATCTTAAATAGTTCCCAAAAATTCTATCCCAATTGAAAATTACAGTCTAATTCTAGGATAGAAATCAACTGTTTTAAAGCAGAAAGGTAAACATGAGACACGATTATCCTTTCCATCATGTTCCCAAATTTATCAGGTATAGGAGGAGATTGGTCATGAAATTATCTGGAGTTTTCGCTACACTTCCTCACGACGATTTCACAAAAATATCTTCCATATGAACTGCATTCATAGATAATCCTCTTTTACTATTTAGTCACCTCTTCAAAAAATTCAATCACATTCACTGGTCTCTCTGTGCTGCTGAAAATTTTCAGACTATTCGCACTATGCTTAGTTGTAAATTCTAGTTGTTTGCCAACAATTTTTCCTATTCCCTGCTCTATGATCATTGGTCTGCCACATCATTTCCCTCAAGTTTGCATCCAGTATCTCATTGAAATCATCAATCATCTTCATCTCAGGCCATTTCTGTTCGCTGCATTAAAAAAAATTCTTCATATTACTCCTGAAAATCTTATGCAAAATCTTAAATCTGTGGCCTCCAATTGTTGCAACAACAGTAAATTGAAAACAGTTTTTCCTTTGTCTGCCTTGCCTAAGCCTTATAACATGTCATAATTCTTTACAAATGAAGCATGAATTACGATTCCTCTCAGGAGAAAACCTTTCACATTGCCAATGTAACTTTACAGCACCCTATCTGCCAGCATTTCAACAATTTCTGATATGTTGTCCAACACATTGCAATCATGATAAATTTCCAGATATTGTGTATTTAAACAGGAAATCAATAGCTATTACTATGGAAAGGTTGACATTCATTGTGTTCTCAGAATCATGTAATCTTTATGTCTCCTGTTAGCAACAACATCAGCAGTGACAACAACGCAAACTCCAAATTTGGGACAGAAGCGCATTGAACTTAATGTGACCTTTGTCATCACCAACCTAGAGTTCATACAAAGTCTACAAAATTCCAGTTCCTTGCTGTTTAATTCTACATCAAATGATGTCTCTGGACAGGTAACTAATTGAATACATCATTCGACGGGCAACTATTTTGTTTTGTTAAGATTAAGTGCTGTCTTATGAAAGGATACAACTGGATATGGATAGATTGGTGACTTAGGCACAGAAATGGCAGATGGAGTGTAATCCAGGCAAATGCAAGGTGATACATTTTGGAGGATTAAATTTAGGTGTGAATTATATTGTTCATGGCAGAACTCTTAGGAACATTAACATACAGATGGATCTGGGCATGCAGGCCCACAGTTCCCTAAAAGTGGCTATACAGGTGGCCAAAGTAATTGAGAAGGCATGTGGCATGCTTGCCTTCATCGGCTGGGGCATGGCATACAAGAGTTGGCAAAGCATGTGGCAGCTACATAAAACCCTTGTTGGGCTGCATTTGGAGTATTGTGTGCAGTTTTGGTTGCCACACTACTAGAAGCACGTGGAAGCTTTGGAGAGAGGGCACAGAAGGCTCACCAGGATGTTGCCTGGTCTCGAGGGCATTGATTTAAGAAAAGGTTACAAAGACTAGGATTGTTTTCACTGGAAAGATCGCAGCTGAGAGGAGACCTGATGGAGGTCTACAAAATTATAACAGGCATAGATAGGATGGATAGTCAGAGGCTTTTTCCCAGGGTTGAAGTTTCAATTGCAAGGGGGCACAGGTTCAGGGTGAGAGGGCAAAAGTTTAAGGGAGATGTGCGAGGAAAGTTTTTCACGCAGACAGTGGTAGGAGCTTGGAATGCACTGCCAGGGGAGGTGGTGGAAGCAGGCACGTTGGCTACATTTAAGAGGCTTCTGGATGGTTACATGAATAGGGAGAGAATACAGGGATACGGACCAAATAAGGGCAGACGGTTTGTTAGTTTAGTCAGGGCATGATGATCAGCACAGGCTTGGAGTGCCGAAGGACCTGTTTCTGTGCTGTACTTCTCTTTTGTTCTTTTGAAAGAAATGATTCGTAGATGCAGTTTTACAATCTTTGAGACTGTCACCCTTTAACAGTGTAATTATGAATTTATTTCAGCTCACTGCCCTGTTCAATGAAAGTAAAATTAAGGAAACATTTTCAGATTGCAAAGTTGTCTCCTTCAGGTGAGTTCCTTCTATTTTAAAAGAATTACAATTTTTATCAAGGTTAATTTAAAATAACATTGCATTGTTAAAAGGGAGAAGACAGTAATGATTGGAACCATGTAAAGATGTCTCAAAATGTTTATATCTAGGCAATGTAACACTCACAAAGATATATTTTCTGGCTGTATTTTATGTGCAGTGTTGTGTTTGCCATGCTATTGTCTCATATTAGTTTTACATCTGTGCGTTGAAATCATCATTAGTTCATCCAAGTAATGTTTAAAGTTGAGTCATCGAACTGCTTTCCTTTACTCTTTCAGTCTTCCATCCTTTTGACATTTGATTACATATATACTACAATACAGGACAGATAACTGTGTTTCAAAGTTTTGAAGTGGAGGTGCAGGTGTTGGACTGGGGTGGACAAATTCAGAAGTCACATGACACCAGGTTATAATTCAACAGGTTTATTTGGAATCACACAAGCTTTCGGAGCACAGGCCCTTCATCAGGTGCAGTAAGAGACCAAAGCAAACAGACACAGAGTTTATAGGCAGAGAGATCAAAAGATCATACAGATGATAAGTCTCTACAGGTGACCAAGAGTGTTAGACAGTGAGTAAAGAGTTTATAAAGTCAATGTCACTGCTGTGCTGTCATGACAATCAGGCAGATTCATAGGTAAATACAAGAAGTGACATCTCAGGTCAGACACTAAATTGTAGTTGTGAGGCTTTGTCCAGAATCTGTCTCAGGGTTTTAAGCTGGAATCAGGCTGGTTTTATTCTGAAAGCTGGAATTTATAAGACGCCACGTTGACTGATTGGGACGATAAATTGTGTGTTTTTTGAACAAAATAGAATGTATCTGCAAATAAACAAACATCTTGGATGAAATGATTCACCTCATTGATTTGTTTGTGCGTGTGTGTGTGAGACAGAGACAGAGAGAGAGAGTGTATGTGTGTGAGACAGTGTGTATGTGCATGTGTGTGTGCTTGAGATAGTGTGTGTGTAAGTGTGAGAGAGGTGTGTGTGTGTTTGTGAGTGTGTTTGTGTGAGAGAGTATGTGTGAATGTATGCATATGTGAAAGTGTGTGTGTGAGAGACTGTGTGTGTGTAAGACTGTTTGTGAGAGTATGTGTGTGAGAGTGTATAATAAGTAATTCAAAACTGGACAAAATAACTAAGGTAGAGAGATCATAACAATTTATGAAGGGGATGCTGTCTAAACAGGAAAGTAGGAAGACTTTACAGATACAGAACAGTGTGGTAGGGTCACCTGTAGTGAGATGTGAACCCGAGATCACGGTTGAGGCTGTCTTCATGGGTATGAAACTTGGCTTTCAGCCTCTGCTTGACAATTCTGCGTTGCTGTGTATCTCGGAGTCCACCTTGGAGTTTTGAAAAGTTTTGAAAACACTGAGAATTCAGAAGTTATTTTAGCTACTGTTACAGGGGATGAATTATGCTTTATTAAAATGCTTACAGTTTATCAAGGATATGATTGTAAACTAGATTGTATATTGTTATTTTTGAAACAACTTCACATTCAGTTAATCTACATAGTGCATTTTTTTTTCTAACAGCTTGGCAAATGGTGGCAGCACCAGCGTGTATGCAATCTGCACGTTTAGAAATGATTCCACTGCTCAGGAGATTGATAAAGTTACTGTGTACCATGAGTTCAGAGACAATACAAAGAACATTTCCACCTTGAGAACATATTCACTGGACAATAACAGCCTCTACGTGAATGGTATTTGACATTTAAAGGAAAAATTCTGTATATTTCAGTTTATATGTGTTTGATTACTTCATTCATCTTAAATTTAGTTTGTTTAAAACAATGCACAAAAGTTATCATACTCTCTAAGGAATGGTTCCATTTGATGCATCTTGCTCATGATATGTCTATCTTTTTGCACAGGTTATCATGAATCAACACCTTTCCCTAGTAAGTAAACTTTCCTTTATTAATTCCATTATTGTTCCACTTTCAATCCCATATTAAAATGAAGGCAAGTCCTTCACTCATGAATGTACTTATATTCTGAAATCAACCAAGCTAGTCCTTGTGTGTCATTCATTTGCTGTTTAATGTCAAAGTTAAAATCTTAAATTGAAGGCTCAATTAATGGTTGCGTTTGTTACCTTATATCCATTATGCATGATCCACAGAATGATACAACCTGATCCTAAATCTGTGACAAACAAGGAAATCAGATATTGTTTTCAATGAGTGAAACAGCACACATCTGAGACTCCTGATGCTAAGACACAGTCAGTACTCAAGAATAAACTAACGCTAAGAAGTTGTAGCTGTTCAAGTGAACTTTGACATGATGATGGTTAGGGATTCAAACATGGCAAAGATTTGAATCCACCAGTCTGCACACAGGGATACTACTCAAGAGATACTGTGTAATGAACAAAGATTTCTTTACATAATTAGACACATTACAGTGATGCATGTTACTCTGCAATATAATTTGTCACATCCCCTTAAAATGCATGAAACTATTACTGTGCTGATCTCTCATTTGAATGCAAGACCAGTCCCTGGTTAGGATAAATGCTTCTCATTGCTTAGCTCTACAATCTCCTGTTATGTCCATGTCCCAAGAGCATGAAAATGTAAATAGATTCTTATTTGCAGAACTTATCTCTTTGTAATGCTAAAACAAGTTTCTTCTTTAAATACAGCATTCTAGTTACTGTGTCATAGTTTGTGTTCCAACGAAGAGTCATTGGACTTAAAATACTACCTCTGCTTGTCTCCCAACAGATGCTGCAAAAATCTGCTGAGTTTCTCCAACACTTTCTGTTTTCATTCTCGTAGTTGTGACTCTTTGAGTAGCTAAATGGCTTATGTCTCCAATGGGTCTGTGCAGAATTAAGCTTACATTCAAAACATTTTGTTTTAATTATTCAATCACTGCAGCTCAATACCATGCCTACACTAAGCTCCCAGCCTGCTGTACACATATAGTGCCTACTCTGTTCTGTAGCCTATTTAGTTGCGCAACTAATTTCTGTACTTGTGTATTTCCACACAAGGTATTTGCTAACACGGGCTTAATATGTACTGGCATCATGCAGGAAAAATCAAAATAAAATCACCTCTCGAATGAGTAAGCCTCTTTGTCAATGAACATCTACTACTCATTTTCACCATTGTTGTTAGGATATTTATCTAGATGCACAAATATCTGACTTGTTGTCTATGTCATGCTCAATTGAACAATTGATGTTTATTGTATTCACAGACTAGTGTTCTCTTTATGTCTCTTTAGCAGTAACACCAGTGGTGACAACAACGCAAACTCCAAATGTGGCAGAGAAGCCTATTGAATTTAACATTACCTTTATCATCACTAACCTGGAGTTTACAGAAAATCTACAAGATTCCAATTCCTCACTGCACAATTCTACATCAGATATTATTGCCCACCAGGTAATAAATAGAATCTGGTATTATCCCAATGATTATTTTGTGTTAGATAGATTAAGAGTGATGTTAATGGTAAAAGTAAATGATTCAGCAAAGCATTTTTAAAATCATTGTGAAGTTCACCATCTAACAGTATGATTGTGATTTTATTTCAGCTCACGACCCTGCTCAACAAGAGTAAAATTAATGAAACATTTTTACATTGCAAAGTTGTTTCCTTCAGGTCAGTTTGGTTTGCGTTTAAAAGTGCAAATTTCTGCAAAAGTTGTTGAAACAATCAATGTGCATTTTTAAAAACTTAGTTATATTCTTGAAATGATGGGGAGGATATGGCTGAACTGTTAATCCAGAGACCCAGATAGCATTCCAGGGACCTGGGTTCGAATCCTGCCAAGGCAGATAGAGGAATTTGAATCCAATACAATATCTGGAATTAAGAATCAAATGATGACAATGAATCCATTGTCGATTGTCAGGGGAAAAACCCACCTGGTTCACTAATGTCCTTTAGGGAAGGAAACTGCCATCCTTACCTGGTCTGGCCTACACGTGACTCCAGACCCACAGCAATGAGGTTGACTCTGAACTGAAGAGATGGGCAATAAATGCTGCCGAGCCAGCGACGTCCTCATCCCTTTAACGAATAAAGGAAATGATGTAATAAGATTTAAAAATGCGAACTTTTGTACAACAGAAACCTCACGAATATTTCATTGTTGAATGTTATGCATACTATTGAGTGAATTGTGATGCTATTCTTTCACATTAGTTTTACACATGTGCATTTTAAACATGATCATTAATTAATTCAAGGGGCGCCTGAAACTGAACCAGTGAACTGCTTCCTTCATCTTTTTATTCTCTTTGACATCACGTTATTAATTTACATGGGTGAATTAGCAGACACCTGTGTTTTATTGATGACGGTAGAGTTAATTGGAAATTATTCAAATTTATGGTATAGTGGATGATGTAAACTTTACCATGATATCTATACTTTCTTGAGGGGATGTATGCTGATTAGTGTGATAATAACATTTTCATAACAAGTTTCTTTTGTTAGTTAAACTCTGCAAAATATTTTGTTCTCACAGTGTGGCAAATGTTGCCAACACCAGCGTGTATTCAATCTGCACATTTAGAAATGATTCTATGCAGGATTTTAATAGAGTTACTGTGTACCACGAATTCAGAGACAACACAAACAACATCTCCACCTTAGGAATCTACTCATTGGACAATAACAGCCTCTATGTAAATGGTATGGAACATTTAAAAATATATTTTATGCACTTGAATTTTTATCCTATATGATGAAATCTATCATTCAGATTGAATTGAGTCCATTTCAAACAATGCATGAATTTTTGCTCCACTTTCTAAAGATAAAATTCGACATGGTACATGTCACTTACAACATTTCAATCTTTTGTATAGGTTATCATGAATCAACACCTTTTCCAAGTAAGTATGCTTGTTTTTCTTACTTCCTGTATGGCTTATTCTATTCCTATGGTAAACCAAAAGCAAATCTTTCACTTATGTTTGTCACTGATTTTCAAATAAAGCTGTCTTCGTGGGGATGTAATGGTTTCCATGTTATCCTTGTGCATTATTATTTTTCTGTATAATGAACAAGTTGAATTCTGGCATTGAGAATTCCTTGAAGTTTCACTTAATTTTTTTGCACATTGCATCCGATTGACTTTGTATTCGGAGTATTTCTGACTGTTATTGAAATCTAGAAGACCGTACAGAAGATAATACTTGCAATTAAACTTACCACAGAAATCTGCACATTTAGAAATGTAATGACCTGTTTATAGACGTCTGGAGATACAGACTGTATGCACTGACAGCATTCAGCAAATTCAGAAAAACAAGCATTCAAATGATCAAGCATATCTCTCAAAATTTCCAGGATGCTGTCATTAATCTTGAACTTTGTTGTCAGGAGATTTGTTTAGAATTTTGTGCATTTTGTGGGTTGTATAAATGGTGATCGTATGGAAATGTATTTTTTATTCTCAGATTAATGTTCTCCTTGTGTCTCCTGATAGCACTGCCAACAGCTTTGACAACAACACAAATTCCAAATGTGGCAGAGAGGCCCATTGAATTTAATGTTACTTTCATAATCACCAATTTGGAATTTACACAAAGTCTACAAGATTCTAGTTCCTTGCTGTACAGTTCTGCATCAGACATTATTTCCCACCAGGTAACACGTTGATTTCAGTATTATACCAACAAGTATTTTGTTTCAGTTTGTGATAAAAGAAAATAATTTACCAAAATGATTTTACAATCTATGAGAGCTTTAGCTTCACCTAATTGTTTGTGACTTTATTTTAGCTCAATGCCCTGTTCAACAGGAGTAAAATTAATGCAACATTTTCACATTGCAAAGTTGCTTCCTTCAGGTGAGTTCTTTTAATGTTAAACAATGATCATTTCTGTGAAGGTTAAGTGAAACAATTGTCATTGTTCAAACTGATAAGGTAACAAGTTTTGTAACAATGTAAGTTCACCAATACCATCTCAAGGTCATTTGGGGTGGGTCATAAATGTTGATCCATATAGCCCACATCTGTTGAATGAACTTTTTTAAAGAAGTTTGAAAATGCTAGGATTGACACAACGTAACACTCAAAATGATATATTTCAAGGTTGAGTGTTACACATATTGCTGAATGTTTTCTGATGCTATTTGTTTTATATTGGTGCATTTCAGTCATTGTCACCAGTCCATCCAAATTGTTTGAGAAGTTATGCCATGAACAGCTGGTTTATCTTTTTACTGGAGGATTCTTTTAACATTTACTTATTCAAATACCATGATAGAGGACTGACACTTTGAGAACTGTGAAAATTGGAAACTATTTTAATTATTGGTATATGAGACGATTGAAATTTTATTGAATTGCCTAAAGTGTTTGTGAAATTTTGAATGTTAATTAGAATGATGAATAATATCTTCAAGACAGCTTCCTTTTTGTTAATGTCCACTATGCATTTTTTCTACAGCCTTGCAAATATTGGCAACACCAGCGTGTATGCAATCTGCTCATTTAGAAATGATTCCACTGCTCAGGAGATTGATAAAGTTACTGTGTATCACGAGTTCAGAGACAACACAAAGAACATCTCCACCTTAGGAATGTATTCACTGGACAACAACAGCCTCTACGTAAACGGTATTGATCAGTTAATAGTGATATTCTGTTCAATAGAATTTTATTCTGTTCATTTAAACATAGCATTCAGATTTAATGCAGTTAATTTCAAAGATTGCACAAGTTTTATTCTGCTCTTTAATGATAAAATTTTACATTTCACTCATGATGCATGTATTTTTTTAATATAGGTTACCATGAACCAATTCCTTTACCAAGTAAGTATGCTTCCCATTACTTTGTTCACTTATCATTTCTTTTCTAATCTCATGGTAAAAAGAGTCCAGAACTTTTCTTCATGACTCTTCCTATATTGCTAAATCCACCTTTTTTGTGGTGATCCAATAATTCTCATATCGTCCTTGTGAATAATTCTTTTTCTGTGGTTGGTTTGCTCACTGAGCTGGTTCATTAGTTCGCAGTAGTTTCATTACCCTGCTGGGTAACATCATCAGTTAAGCACGAAAACACCACAATGTTTTATCGGAGGCTGCACTGATGATGTAACCCAGCAGGGTAATGAAACATCTGCAAACTAACGAACCAGCTCGGCGAGCGAACCAATCATAGCATCCACAACCCGAGCTACAAATCCACTCAAGTACCTTAATTCTTTTTCTGTATAATGACCAAGTTAAATTCTGGAACTTAGAATACCTTGAAGTCTCAAACAATGGCTGTGTGTTTTTTGCATCATGTCTCCTTCATATGTGGATTTTTGCAGCTGAACATCATTCAGGATAAAACAGCGGTGGTAGAATCCCTCTACCACTGGGCCGTAAGATCTTGATTCAACTCCCACCTGCCACAGACGTGTGTCATAACATGTCTGAATAGGTGATTAAAGTATCTAAATCAGCCCACTTGATTGCACCCCATCCATGACCCTCAGCAGTCACTCCTTCAGCATTAATGTGCTATGAAAGGAGTGTGGATTATCCAAAAGAAGCACTACATTAACTTTAAAGGGTTTTCCAACAGCAGCTTCCAAAAACGCAACTTCAACCACATGGCGAGTAAAGGCAACAGATACGTACGAACACAACCACTAGCAAGTTGCCTTCCGAGTCACACCATCTGTCTAGGAACTATAACGCTGATCCTTCATAGTTACTGGCTTATCCTGAGACTCCCTTCAAAATTGCGCTGTAGGTGCCCCTACAGGCCACAGAATACAATGTCTCAAGAAGGCAGTTCACCACCACCTACTCCAGGGCAATTAGGGTTGGGAATAAATGCTGGCTTAGACAGCAATGTCCACATTCCCTGAACAAATAGAAAAAAAAAGGACAGAAAATAATACTTGCAATTAAATCTGCAAGACTGGAGGCAAAAGACTTGCTGGAGAAAATATTCAGTCCAAGACAACTGACCATACAGGCATATTTGTTTTATTCTTGACTGTGATATTTGTATCACTGGTGAGACCTGCATTTGTTGCCAAACCCAAATTACCCTTGAACACAGAAGCTTACTAAGCCTTTCCAGAAAGCATTTAAGAATCAACCATATTGCTATTGGTCTAGAAGTGCATGTCGGTGAGACAATGTAAGGGCAGCTTTCCCTTAACAATATGAGAAACCTGCATCTTCTACCACCTTGATGCGTAAAGGCAGCAGGTACATGGGAACACCAATTTGTTTATCGTTACTTAGACCAGGTTTGAATTCCACATTTGATTCAGTACACTTAGAAAATACCATGGCACTTTAAACAAATTATACCCACTTATACCCACTCATATGACACAGTAGAAAAAGAAACTGTGTTCTGCAATGCTCAAGCATATCATGTCAACATGTCAAAAACTCCTGCTTGTCTGGAACATCGTTGCGGGGATCATTTTCTGGATTTGTGTATTTTTCGCTTGAAGTACAAAATGTCAATGTTTACTGTATTCTCAGACTACTGCTCTCTTTATGTCTCCTGTTAGCAATAACACCAGAAGTGACAACAACGCAAACTCCGAGTTTGGAAGAGCAGTTTATTGAATTCAATGTGACCTTTGTCATCACTAACTTAAAGTTTACACAACCTCTACAAGATTCCAATTCCTTGCTTTTCAAGTCTGCTTCAAATATTATTTCTCACCAGGTAATAAGCAGATTACCGCATTACACCAATAACAATTACTTTTCTGAATAAAATGCAGTGTAGCATTGACTGATGCTTTGACTAAAATGAGATAATTTAACGAAAAGAGATTTTTCTTCTAAAATTGTGATTATGAATCTGTTCCAGCTCACTGAATTGTATGGCAAGAGCAAAATTAATTCAACATTTTTAACTTGCGAAACTGTTTCTTTCCGGTGAGTGGCCATTTTTGTAATTGCAAATTAGACTGAAGGTTAACTAAAATTACAAAGCTGCAGTGTTAAATGTTAAAAAGTAACAATGCCTGAAATTATGTTAAAGGTGTTTGTAGCTAATTGTGGTATAACATACTTTGCAGAAAACAATATTTAGTCAGAGAATCTTGTGCATACCTTAATTGCATTTGAAGCATTAGCCAAAGAAGATTTTCCTTCAGCTGTTTCTTTCCAGCTTTGATGTTTGGAGCACCCCGATCGTCAGTGATGAAGGGCATACTCCTGTGTTTCAAACATATTTTTAAGAACAGAGTTAATACCAAAGTATTTCAATTGCTGGGCTAGAGGCTGAACTTACTAATAATGTTTAGAATTCAAAAAAGATGAAGATCGCAATGTTAATTGTAATGAACAAGAATCTTTTGTTACATGCTGAACCTTCTAATTGCATTTTATTTTACAACAGTCCGACAAATATTGGCAGTTCCAGTGTGTATTCAATTTGCAAGTTCAGAAATGAATCTACACCTGAGAAGGTTGATAAAGTTATTGCGTACAACGTTTTCCGAAACAACACAAAAAACATCTCAATCTTAGGAGCATATTCGCTGGACAATAACAGCCTCTACGTAAATGGTATTGATCATTTAAAGAGAATGTTCTGTTTCACTACATTCATTATAAGTATTTCAATATGTTATTCAGATTCAGTTCAGTTATTTCCAAACAACTGTAAATTAATGTTTTTCTTCAGTGATTACTTTCCACTTAGCATATTTTGTACTGAATACTTTTAATTGTTTTTCTCAGGTTACCATGAAACAATTCCTTTGCCCAGTAAGTCTTATTTTGTTTCTTAGTTGCATTAATATTTCTCATCAGTGCTGAGAGTGACACAAATGCTGGTTTTAGTTTACTAGCTTTACTAATATATCATTAAACTACCCTATTATTGCAAATGCAATGTTTCACTTTTCTTAATTGAACTTTTAGTAAAGCTCTCAGCTTGAAAATCTCCTATTGGCTCAATTATAAGTTTTTAGTAACATGTAGATTGTGAATAGAATGAGTTTCGTTCCTGCCACCTGAAGAGCTGAAATGCAGTGTGAATCATGCTTGCTGTCTGGCAGACTCCAACAAGCTTTACTTGAGTTCAGATTTCCAACCCTCAGTTGGGAGAAAGTTAAACCACAGTTGCCAATCAATCTGATTGACAGCCACCCCATAGCTCCAGGTGCTGCAGATAACCGGCTACTCCCAGAGTTTAAGTCTTAGGGTAGTAACCTTAGGCAGCACCCTCCAAACCCTGTGACCTCTACCTTATAGAAGGTCAAGGTCAGCAGATATGTGGGATAACATGACTTGCAAGTTCCCTTCCAAACCCTTCGTCATCTTGACTAGGCACTATATCATTGCTCCTTCAGTGTCGCTCGGTCAAAATCCTAGACCTACCTGTTTAATGGCATTGTGGGTGCACCTACACCAAATGGACCGCAGGGGTTGGGTCAGCATGGTGGCTCAGTGGTTAGCACTGTTGGGATCTGGGTTCGTTTCCAACCTTGAGTGATTGACTGTGTGGAGTTTGCACATTTGCCCCACGTCTGCGTGGGTTTCCGTTCAGTTCTCTGGTTTCCTCCTACTGTCCAAAGATGTGCAGGTTAGATAGATTGGCCATGCTAAATTGTCCATAATGTCTGGGGATGTGCAGGCTAGTTGGATTAGCCATGGGAAATCCAGGATTTCAGGGATAGGGTGACGAGCTCCACCTGGGTGGGATCAGTTTGGAGATTGGATGGGCCGAATGGCCTCCTTCTGCACAGTTGAGATTGTATGATTCTATGAAGAAGGCAGCTCACCTCCACTTACTTATGGACAAATTAGTGATGGACAACAAATGCTCGCCAAGCCAGCAACGCTGACATCACATGAATGAATAAAAAAGACAGGGGCAGGACAAGCTTAGGTGTGGATCTTCCCATCCATCCCCAACCACTTCCCACACTGAGCAAGATCAATTTCAGTGACTCCCCTCAGGTCTAGACCCTTCCTGCTGGACTAAAAATTGAGGCCGGGCGCTCATTCATTTGCCACTTAATGGCTTCAATTGAGGCAGGGACTGGCCAAGGTCTCACGCTCACCACCATAAAATTACAGAAAAGTCCAGGACAGGTGTGAATTTGACCCCCTCCACCTCCCATGCATACCTACTGGTGGAAGAACATAAAATGTTGATATCTAAGTCAGTAAGAAAAGAATCAGGCGATGTTTCTAAATAGAGAAGTAATCGGTCACATATTCACTGGTTAGGGCAACTTCTGTATCAGTCACATTTATAATAGCAGTAGGTTCTCGTCATGAGGAAAAGACAAACCTATCCATCCCATCCTGCCTCAAAGCTCTGACAACACCACAAAGTATTTCAATGAGGTTTCTATATTCTTGGTTTATTCAAACTTCACTCTGGAAGAGAAATGATACAGTTGCAGAGATTATTTTACTCACAGTTTAATATTTCTCTAATTTATCTTAACAGCACCATTTGTGACTACAACTCCAAACCCGCAAGCCGAGTCCTTCGATTTTAATGTGACCTTCATCATTACTAACTTGGTATCAACAGCAAACCTAATATCACCCAATTCTGCACTACACAAATCTGCCTCAAGTATTATTAATTTCCAGGTTGGTTGACAATTTAGTTCTGAATACAGGTATATTATTTCATTAAATACAGAATTTTCCCTAATGCTGTGGCTGTTCCTTTCCTTCAGTTAAACAACCTGTTTAAAAACAGCAACATCAATAGAACATTCTCAAGCTGCAAAGTTCAATCATTCAGGTAAAGAATGTTGAAATTAATCCAGTCTTATTATTGTTATTTGTATGCAATGGGGCATGAAAATGTTACATGCTCAGGAGGGCAGTCTGTTCTCTCAAAAACAAGCCTTTTCACCAGTGTCCTTGCTGCTTGCTCGTCTGTTTTCTAGCTAGCACACCCAGAATTCTGCCATCTTTATCAGGGAGGCATAGCTTGCAAGTTGCCCTCTAACCCCAATGCTTGAAGTCATCTTCCAAGGTCATTTGTACTTTCTCCCACCGAACAGGTAGCCTCCACTTTCAATAGCAAGCACTTAGAGCTGGCAACTAGAATTGTGGGGCTGACTAAGCCAAACATTCAATTTCTTTCAAAGGTATGTATCTAATTGCCAATCTGTCAGCTAGGGAATACGCAGCAACTGTGTCTTCAATACAGCAAATACAAGTTGAGAGTGTTGAGATGGAAACAATTATTCAGCAAAAATTCTGAGCTGGCATTCATTTTAGATGTAACACACAGAAATTCCACACATTTTTTATGTTATGAACTGATGCACAAAAGGCCACAGAAGCTTCTCTCAGGCAAATTGATTTGAGCGTGTTTCCCAATTTATTTAATTAATTAACATTTTCCATTTTACAGTCCTGCAAATGCTGCCAGCACCAGTGTCTACACAATCTGTACATTCACAAATGGTTCCAATCCTCAGGATGTTAATAGAGTTACAGCGTACCATGAGATCAGGGACAACACAAAGGACATTTCCACTTTGGGAGCATATTCACTGGATAGCAACAGCCTCTATGTGAATGGTATTTATCATTTCAAGATCTTTCTTTTGAATTTGAAAGTGTTTGTGTGATGAATTTGGGAAAATGTAACCAAACTAATGTATCCTATTGCACTAAATGATGATGAATTTCCATCTGACTCATTTTACAGAAGACATATTTTGATTTTCAGGTTACCATGAAGAGGCTCCTTCAGCCTGTGAGTATGGTTCCTGGTTCTATCGTCTCTCATGATTTCTTTATTGCAATAAAAGATCTTCATTAAATTCTTTTTGTAAATTGTCTAATACACGCACTTCATTGAGGATGTAATGTTTCTTATTTAGAGCTAGTTGACCAATATTTTCCCATTCGATTGTACACCTAAATTCTTCAATTGAGAATGTTTATGGCTTAACTTTTGTTTGTGGTGTCTTGTACTTTCCCCTTCACATGAAGCATTTATTAACAGGCTAATAAGATAGCTGTGAGTGACATGCAAGAGGCAACTAACAGCATCTGAAATTAGAACTGTTGGCCAAATTTAGACATAAGCCAGAAATTTTCGGGTGATGAGATTTCCCTGCCTGATATCAGAACAATTAATGGTGAACACACTGGCACCAATATTGACTGGCCTATAGCCACTTAATTTCCTCAAACCAATATTAATTGGCAGGAGACGGGACTTCTGCCTTTCAGTCAGGAGGAAGTCCCACCTCAAAGAGCTAGCAGTCAATGAGATTGAACAGCAACTCTCTAGCAGCACTAGAAGCTACAATGCACAGGACTGGGACTGTAAACAATCCCTAGGGTTTAAATTCACGGAACTGTATCAATCAAAAGTACAGGAGGGCTTACAGGGCCCACAAGATGGAGGGGGGGGGGTTAGATTTTGGGGGTGGGGATTTTGTTAGTGAAAAGGTGAAGATGTGTGTTGTGGTGTAATGGCATACATGTAAATCATTCTGATGCAACTAATCTCACGAATCAAATATTAGTAAGAGAGAAGAGACCAGAATGCACAAAGAGTATTCGAGGAGAGAGGTGTCAGCCACTAGACTAGAGAGCTGTATTTGCTAACTGACATGAACAGAGGGAAACAAAGGAGCATTATAATTCACAAGGAGTTGAAGAGCTGTACTTAGTGATAGGAGCAATGTAGGTTCAGGGACTGGGTATGCGCAGATAGCCAAACCCTAAAAATATCTCCAGTTTGCTATCTCATGATACATGTAACAGTAATGCCTAAAGCCTAAAGATAAAGAGGAAGGATCATCCATAGCTTGTGGGGGGAGCCCTTGATGTTGAAAGGAGACTGTTGTAGAAGACATATCCCATCCTTTTCACTTGAGACCTGAACAGGGTCATTTTTCCATACCCCTAAATGTCTCCTGCCTTCTTGGAAATTTGGCTGCAAATGGGCCATAAGCAATGATTAATTAGACATTTCAGTTGGGGCCAGGATGGATAGGCTGACCAATAGGACTCACCCACCCCATGGAAATTTATGGCAAGGTAAGGCCAGCTGAGGGACTCCCCCCTCTCTGCATACTCACCAAGAAGACAAATGAAATATTCTGCCATTCAAGTCAGTAAGAAAAGTCGGGAGATGTTTCTACAGAGAGAAGCAATCAGTTGCATATGCATTTGTTAATACAGCTTCCGTACCAATCATGTAAATGAGAGGGTTGTTACTGAGAGAGTGAAAAACTCACCAACCTGCCTCAAAGAATTCTAGTAGTTGCATGAAATATGCTGATGTACTTTCTAAATTCTTATTTTTTTCACTTTCACTCTGAAATATAAATGATAGAGTTACAAAGGTTTTTATTATCCTCAGCATAATGATTACTTCATCTTTCTTTACAGCACCATCTGTGACCACAACTCCAAACCTGCAACCACAGTCCTTTGATTTTAATGTGACCGTCATTATTACTAACCTGCCTACAACAGCAAATCTAATATCACCCAATTCTGCACTGCACAAATCTGCCTCAAATATTATTGCCTACCAGGTAAGTTAGTAATTTATCTGTTAATATAAAAATGTTATCATTGATTATAGAATTTTCTTTCTAATACTTGACTGTTTCTTTTCTTCAAGCTGAACAACCTGTTTAGAAATAGCAATATCAGCAAAACGTTCTCAAGTTGCAAAGTTCAGTCATTCAGGTAAGTAATGTTGACAATAAAGAAAATCAGCATCTGTTTCCAGTTTATTACTAAATTTAGTAAAAGAATAATAATATTACAAAAATGGATAAGTCATTTGACATTAATCAGATTTCTGATTGCTGTTTGTGCTCTAATCATTAATGTTAGATGTCTGATAATCTTTGATATATTTACTAATGATAAAAGTCTTGATTGTTGTGAGCTATATTTGTCCTATATGATTCAAGATTATGTTGTGGAATGGGCAGGGATTGCCAAGTCCCAAATGGAGTCATGAGCTGAAACTTTTAGTCTCTGTGGCTCTCTGACCGAGGTTCAGCAGCTATGCTGCTTCTCCTTGTCCTAAGTCAATGGTATCATTGCTCGCAAACACCCCCACCCCCCACCAACGCCACTTTCCACAGTTCTTATTGGGGGATTGTGATAATCTTCAAGCTTCAGAATGGGTCACTGTTGGAAAATGTTTGGTAAGCACTGGCAAAGGGGTATGCAGAGTGGCACAACAGTCCAGAAATCTATCCTCTAACAAGGACACTGCTGCAAGAAATGGGCAGTGGCCTCAGCAGCATGAATATGCTGCAACCTCAGGAGGATAACCACTCCAGCTGTATCTTTTCTATCTAGCCCGCCAGCTAGCCTGCACAAACTGATGCCATTCACACCAAAAGGGCACAATCTATGGCAGGGCCTTCAAAGCCCACTGCCTGAAGCTGTCCTCCAAAGCCATCTGCAGTCTCATCTGCTCAACGTCTATCGTTTGCACTCTCACCAAACAGGCTAAGAGAGCAGGCAGCCAGATTATGGGACATAACAGGACAAACATTCAGTTCATCTCAAAGATACTAATTTTCTGGTGGTCAAATTATCAACTGGAAGATACCCAACAACTGTGCCAGCTGCAGAGCAAAATGCAAACTCAGGATCTTGAGGTGCAAAGAGATATTCATAAAGATTCTGAGCTGGCATTCACTTTAATTAAAACATTTAAATTAAAATTTAGCTCCCAAAATTATAAACTGATACCCGCAAGAGCACAGAAACTTCAATCTGCCAACCTTATTTTGTCACAATATTTCTTAATTTAGTTTAATAACTTTGTATTTTACAGTCCAGCAAATGATGCCAGCACCAGTGTGTACACAATCTGTACATTCACAAATGATTCCAATCCTCAGGACGTTAATAGAGTTACAGCGTACCATGAGATCAGGGACAATACAAAGGACATTTCCACTTTGGGAGCATATTCATTGGATAGCAACAGCCTCTATGTGAATGGTATTTAGCATTTCAAGACCTTTCATTTTATCACTTTGAATGATTTTCTTCTGAATAATTTGGGGAAAATTTAACTCAAACTAATGTATCTTATTGCACTAATTGATGATGAATTTCCATCTTACCCATTTTATTGAAGACATGTCTTTGATGTTTCAGGTTACCATGAAGAGACTCCTTCAGCCAGTGAGTGTGGTTCCTGTTTCTACTGTTTCTTAACACTTCCTTTAATTGTTGTGGGAAACAACAAAATCATCCTATACTAATCTCTGTTTATCAACTGACAAACACATGCTCCTTATCGGGATTACAATGTTGCCCATTTCAACTATTATTTTCTGGTTTGATCATTTCAGTAGTTGCTTGAAATGAGAATATTTATGACAATGGAGATTTTGTGAGTGCTGTTCTCCTCTCTCAACAGCCTGCTAATATAGCTGTGGGTAACATGTAACGAATAGCAAGCACTACTTAAATTAGACCAGTTGCCCAAATTTGGATATAAGCACAAAACTCTGGCCAGGAGTTTTAGGATGGCGGGATTTCATTTCTTCCTTGCCCAAGATTCCCTGTTGAATGTATTGCTGTCATTGCCGGCTGCCTGCTGCCATTCAGTGCTTCAGTGAGCTGGGGATGGGTCTTCTGCCACTCATTGCCAAACTCTAGAGTGATGCCAGCCAGTCTGGTTTATTGGCAACTCCCTAGATCAAGCAGTACCCCATGTTGAGGTGGACAAGACAGCAAGTAGCCCTCAGTCTAAAGTCCCAGGGGCAGTACCAGGTACGTTTGGGATCTCAGTGTATGGATGGACGGTGAGAGTCAGAATGTGTGGGCAACTGGGGTGGGGTGAAGTGAAGGGAAATGGTTGCTTCTGGACAGGACAAGCTTGGGGCTACCATTTATAGACACCATCTGAGAAAGCAGCTGGTGTTGAAAGGAGATTGCAGTTGGTGGCGAACCTTCCATTGCCACCCAAGGTATGAGTAGCATCACTTTCCAGGATTGTCCTTTGAATCTGAATACCGCCTGGTTTCCTAGAAATTTAGGCTGGGCAGAAAATGGTCTTTCATTAATTGGTCACTTAAGGAGCTCACTGGAAAGGGTGAGCAGGCTGGTGTATATGCCTCGTCTGTCCTATCATAACACTGCGGGAAGATTGAGGAGGGTGGATGGGTGCTGGGTAGTCAGCTTGGGAACACACACTCCACACCTACTGGTGATAGAATGTAAAATTCTGCACTCCAAGGCAGTAACAAAATTCATGGAATTTCTACACAACGAAGCAATTAGCTACATGGTTACTGGTTGGTGCAGCTTCTGTCCCAAACTCATGAGACAGAGATAGGTACTCCCTATCAAAAGAAGACCATCATATCCATGGCACTATGCTTCAAAAACCTTGATCAGCATTCTACAATACTCTAAAGCGGTTTCTATATTCTTGATTTATTTTCCCTTCATCTGGAACAGAAATTATGCAATTATGGGCTTTTTTTCAATTTCAATTTAATGATTATCTATTCCTTTTCTTAACAGCACCATTTGTGGCCACAACTCCAAACCTACAAACAAATTCTTTTGAATTTAACGTGACCTTCATTATTACTAACTTGGTTCCGACCTCAAATCTAATATCTTCCAATTCTGCACTGCACAAATCTGCATCAAATATTATTGCTTACCAGGTCAGTTCACAATGTACTTATTAATACTGATACGCAATTTCATTAAATACAAAGACTCCCCTCATACTCTGTTGTTCCTTTCCTTCAAGTTGAACGACCTGTTTACTAACAGTAACATCAACAAAACATTCTCAAGCTGCAAAGTTCAATCATTCAGGTAAGGAATTTAACAATTAATCAAAACAATATCTGTTTCAAGATTAAAAATTAATATTACAAATATGGCTAAAGTTTCTTGGTATTATTCAGAATCCTGCTTTTCTTTTCAGTGCTCAGATTAGTAAGATTAGAGGTCTGATAATCTTTTGATTTGACAGATATATTTACTGAAAAGTTTAGAGGGCTGTGAGCAACATTTGTCCTATTTATTTGAGGATTACAGTATGCAAAGGGGCATTCACTGTGTCACAACAGTCCAGCAACCAATCCTACAACAGAATACCTCACTGGAAAATGGGCATTGATGGAGCATGAATGTGCTACATGCTCAGGAGAACCTGTACCCTACAAGATTCACCACTTCGCCAGAGCTTTCCCTGCTCTCTGGCTGCCAGCTAGCCAACCCTATCTCCCGAAATCTATACCCTCCAAAGTCACCTCAGGTCTCCTCCACCGAAAGTCAGTAATTTTACACTTTCAACAGTAAGCGCTTAAAGCAAGCAACCAGAGTTATGGCATTTCGTAAATCAAACCTTTCAATTCCTTTCAAAGACACTTATCTGGTCTGTGAAATATCAACTTGAGGATACACAGCAACTATGCCTCCTGCACAGCCATTGCAAATGGATTGTCAAGTTGGAAAGAGTTATTCAGCGCATTATTCCCATTTACTTTAGCTGTAACACTTTGAGGCTTATTTCAAGCAATTGATGCCCTTATTAGCACAGACATTTCTTTCTCCAACCTGATTTTATGGTGATGTTTCCTAATTAAATAAATTTATTAACTTTGTATTTTACAGTCCAGCAAATGCTGCCAGCACCAGTGTGTACACAATCTGTACATTCACAAATGATTCCAATCCTCGGGAGGTTAATAGGGTTAGTGCATACCGTGAGATCAGGAACAACACAAAGGACATTTCTACCTTGGGAGCATATTCACTGGATAGCAACAGTCTCTACGTGAATGGTATTTATTGTTTTAAAGACTTTTCTTTCTATCATGGTGAATGTGTCTATGTGATCAAATTGGGGAAATTTCAACTAATCTAACATATCTTATTTCACCAATTGATGATGAATTTCCACAATACTTGTTTAATAGACGACTTATTTTTGCTTTTTTTAGGTTACCACGAAGCAGCTCCTTCAGCCCGTGAGTGTGATTTCTGTTTCTATTTTTTCTTAAGATTTCCTTTCATTGCTGTGGGAAATAACAAAATAATTCTACATTAACAAATTGTCAAACACATGCACCTCATTGGGGGTGTCGTATATCCCATTTAGCTCTGGTTCACCATTATTTTCCAGTTTGATCATCCATGTAAATTCTTAAATTGAAATGTTTTTGACTGAACAGTGATTTTGTATGTGCTATGTTACCCTCGTCCCTTCACTTCAGGCATTTATTAACAGGGTAGTAACAGAGCTGGTAGTAACATATAAGGGGTAGCTAACAGTAACTGAAATCAGACCTGTCACCCAAAGTTGATTGCACTCAGGAATTTTCAGATGGTAGGATTTCTCCTTTTTCTGTCCGAAGTTTCAGTGGTGAATGTATCGCAGCCAATACGAATTGAACTACAGCCAATTATCCATCAATTTTAATGGGATGGAGGTAGGATTTTGCCCTCAATTCGGGGCTAATTCTCAGCCTGGTGTGCTACCATACAGAAGCTACAGCACACAGGATTGGGAATGCACACAGTCCCCAGAGTCTAAGTCCCAGGTAAATGTGGAGATCTCGGGCTGGGAATGGATGGTGCAGCCTGGAGCAATTGGCAGAGTTGGCAAGTTTGAGGGGAGTAGAGGGGGTTCAAGTTCTTGGACAGTCCAGGGTGGAAGGGAGCATCTGAGGGAGCCAGACCTAATGGGAACCACCTCACTTTCTGACCTTCCCCCTATCACTGATCTCTTCTTGCCAGGCCGAAAATTTAGTTTGGATGGGAAACGATTGTTAACCAATCATTAATGGATCATTTCAGGGCCCCCAATTGGAGAAAGGGTGGGCATGTCATCCTATATCCCTCACCTGTCCCACAGTGAAACTGGGATGGTTGATCCCTGGGCAAAGACATCTGAAAAAATTTGCTGGCCACCCATTCCCCTTGCACACCTGCCGATGGAGGAACAGAGCATTCTGCCCTCCAAGTTGGTAACAAGAATCAGGAGAAGTTTCTATGTGAAGAAGCAATCAGTTACATTGTCAGTGGTTAGGAGAGTTTTATTGCCAATCACATACATGAAAGCAAAAGGTTTTCTTTGCTAAAGGAAGACAAACCTTTCTATCCTATTCTGCCTCAAAAAAACTCTTGACAACAATATAAAATATTCTGATGTGGTTTCTATATTCTTGGTTTATTTAAACTTCATTCTGGAATAGAAATATTACAATTGAAGAAATTATTTTATTCTCAGCATAATGATTACTTAATCTTTCTTAACAGCACCATTTGTGGCCACGACACCAAATCTTCAACCCAAGTCCTTTGATTTTAGTGTGACCTTCACTATTACTAACTTGGTTCCAATAACTAATCTAATATCATCCAATTCTGCACTGCACAAATCTGCCTCAAATATTATTGCTTACCAAGTAAGTTTGTAATTTACATATTAATGCAATTATATATTATCAGTAATTACAAAATGTGGTCTCTTAATACTGTGGCTATTCCTTTCCTTCAAGTTGAACGACCTGTTTACAAACAGCAACATCAACAAAACATTCTCAAGCTGCAAAGTTCAATCATTCAGGTAAGTAATGTTGGTAATGAAGCCTATCAGAATCTGCTTCAAGTTTATCAAAAGTAGCTAAAATCTCTTGGTATCTTTCAGAATTCTGCTTTTTTCTCAGTGTTAAAATCATCAATGTTAGATTGAATTGGCATAATTATGTTCAGATAGCTGGGAATAATATGTTTGAGTACAACAATGTACAAATGGGTTTTAATAGTATCACTATAGTCTAGCAATTTGTCCTCCAACAGTTAGCTGAAATGTCTGTCCAGAGAATGGGCAATGATTCCAAAGATCATGACATTCCATTTTCGGGAGGACAATTTGTGCCCTCCAAGGCTTGCTACTCTCATGTCCTTCCTGCGCTCTGCCTGCTAGTTAGCCCAGCCACAGATCTGCCATCCAGACCAGGCAGGTGAAACCTGCAAACAAGCCCTTCTAGCCCCACTTAATAGAGGCTGAAATCCAAGGCCCTCAATAGTCTTCTCCGCTAGACGTGAGTTACTTTGCACTTTTAACAGCAATCCGCGAATGCAGGGAGCCAGCATTTTGCGGTTTAATAAATCAAACCTTTCAATCCTTTTATGTTTACTTCTCTGGTGAACAAATTATCATGTGGAAGATTCTCAGTGTCTGCACTTCCTGCAAACGCAAATGCAAAGGGTGCAAAGAATCATTCAACAATGATTCTTGGCTGACGTTCATGTCAGTTGTAACAAATTGACATTTAGTCACAATATTGTAAATTGATACCATAAGAGTGCAGGAGCTTCTGTCTGCCAACCTGATTTTGTTGCAATGTTTCCTAATTTATTTAAATAACTTTGTATTTTACAGTCCAGCAAATGATGCCAGCACCAGTGTGTACACAATCTGTACATTCACAAATGATTCCAATCCTCAGGACGTTAATAGAGTTACAGCGTACCATGAGATCAGGGACAATACAAAGGACATTTCCACTTTGGGAGCATATTCACTGGATAGCAACAGCCTCTACGTGAATGGTATTTAGCATTTAAAAGAGGTGTTCTGTTCCATTCTATTTAATTCTGTTTGAATATTTTATTCCAAATGAATCAGAGAGATTTCAAGCAATCACATTAATTTTTAGTTTGCTTTCTCATAATGCATTTTCAACCTGCTTCACTTGATAGAAAACATATATTTTTGGTTTTTCAGGTTATCATGAATCAACTCCTTTAATCAGTGAGTATTACTTTTATTACAGTCATAGCACTGACTTCATTATTTGTTCAGAACTAGCCAACTTTTGATGAAATATTCAATAGTTTAATAATCAGGCACTATTACAGTCCTGGAAGTCAAGATTTAAAATCAAAAGCTGGGAGTTTATTGCTGTTACCTCTCTAGATTTTACAAGATATTCTTAGGATTTTGTTTTTATTCCTTCAGAGCATGCATAATGTTATGCCCTAATAAAATTAGAAATAATTCAATTACAAGATGAATTAGATATATCTTATATGAGGTGGCATTAAATATGACAAACTCAAATGCTAATTATTAAAACAAATGATGCTGGTCTGTTCCACTTTAACAGCTAAAGCTAATGAGAACACTACCAAAGTCAATAGCAGTTACAATCTTATACATATGACAGCAAATCTAAAAGTTTACTTGTCCCAGTTAGTTGCAAGACCCATTCTAGGCACAAATACTTTTTCAATTAATTCAGTAAGTTTATTGTAACATGTGCAAAAGAAATAATATTTTATTAAAGCAGTGGTTTTTCTGTCGATCTACTTCAGGGTACCAGTTTGTGGCATTGGTTGACTAGACAAAGATCTTTTGTTCTGTTTTATTTTCATTTTACTTGTATTTTCGGTCTTCCTGTGCAATGAATTTCTAGAAACACCACTTATTTACCCTTGAAAACCACTTCCCCCCCGTATGCATGATCAGAGACATCCTGAACACTAACAGGCTTATTAGTGCATAAATAGTTCTTGCTGAGCAGTGGGTGAACTAGGTAGTATATTCCTGATTGATTTTATTAAAAGCAATTGTCATCAAAAGAGAATGGAAGTGACATAACTTCATACTGTCTCTTGAATCATTGTTTGACATGCCAAGCACTTTGTAAGATCATCCCTATTGTAACAACCTGTCCCTGTTAGATTACCAACTCTACATATATTTACCAAGATATGGTGGCACCAGTGAATAATTTATGTGTCTGTTTCGAATATGTAATGATACCCCTAGAGAATTAATATCACTTCAAATGTCCCAAATTGATGTATTTGCATATCATTCATATCTTACCGATGTTTTAATTAAAAGAACCATGTGTAATGTTACAATAACCATTGATACCAAAAAAAAATTCAAAATAAAATTTGCCAAACAAAACTGAAATACATAGGTCTATTACATATCTAAGTTATAAAACTAAACTGATTTAAACATTTATAAGTTAATTGAGCCATGGTTATAGATTATTGGACATTTTATTGCTCATCCTCCTCTGTAGGTACAACTTTACTGCTTTAGCAACTCCTGAAAACAGACACCTGAACTTTGGCTATTCTACTTTAATTTCTTTTAACATTCTGAGATATATACAGTGTTTTATCCGTTGTATTCAAGACACTTAGAAATAAATTGACAGCAAGTCTTCTGTCCACTGTCTTCATACATCTTTGGCCCCCAACATTAGATCAGTTTAGTAGGAGCTAGTCACAGTACCAATGCAAGTTCATCTGATCTGTGATCTATTACATTTAGCAAAGATATCCCTTAGTTATACAATCACATCAATCAATCCTGGACATTAAAACGAAGAGCGTTTTTTGCACCCGGTAACAATGAGTTAGAAGAGACTGGACATAACTTTCATTTGTTCCTGCTTTTTCTGAATCCTGTACATGCACCCTTGTTGCATGAATGTCATCTCTGCCTGAAGGTGGTATAAGATATTGGGCTGAATGCCTGTTTGACTGACTGTGTTCTACATATAGCCAGGTTGAGCACATTTATCAGTTTAAGTGCAGAAATTTGTGCTATTTTAAGTTCCTTAAAAGACGTTTTACTGATTTGTCACCCAGTTTAAACAGGCTGGAGAGACTCTATGCACCACAGCAATTTGTGGATACGTGCAGACTGAGGGTCTTGGCCCTCAATAAAATCTGTGAAGAAGCCATATTTATTTACTGATTGGATTGAATGACTATCTTTCCAAATGTTTTTTACTCGCTGTTCATTAAAAATGATTCTACTTCTCAGATGGTTTGATATAACCAGAAATGAACAATCATGCAACTTATAATACTCCTTTAAAATCACAGAGTGGAGACTACCCCTCCCTGAAGGTAGTTAAAGAATAAATAATTGGGCGAGATGGCCCTGGAGAGATTCTTGCCCTTCTCAACACCTCACTAATTAAGTTTTTGATGTGAAAATAGGACCTTCTTGGCCTACGATCCATTAAGGCCGTTACGTGGTGTATCAACGGCCAGCACCAATTATGCCTGCTTCCATAATATGTCCCATCAAAGGGAAAATTGCTCTCCTAAAGGAAATAACTCTGTCAGTGGATGTGTCTCTGTGATTGCCTATGAATGTATTGGTATATGTGGTTGCATACATAAAAATGAATAAAGATATGCTATTCCCTAAATTAAACAACCAATAAGGTGTCCAAATTTAAAATAAAACAAAATCCATTTTTAACTTGAATAAATATGTATTTCAGAAAGTAGCCTTTTCTCATATTACCCATTAGAACAGATGGTTTGAATATAATCAGATTAATAACAGGATAACATTTGGCAAAGCAATGCTCCAGACTAGAGTTTAACTGAGAAGAGCTGATTTCAGAGTCAGAACTTTTTGTTTCATGTATAATTGGTAAAGTCAGGAAATATTGTGTTACAGATTATTGTATTGCCTGGGTAATTATTTACTCTTTCCTTACAGCTGAAGCCCCTGTTGAGGTAGTGACGCTGCAACCAAATAAAGAGATAAAACCCATTGACTTTAATGTGACTTTCACAATAAATAACCTGGAATTTAAATCAGAATTACAAAACATCAATTCTGCTGAATATACAACTACGTCAAGCAATGTTATTAGTTTGGTAAGTTGACAGTAGACTCACATTTAGTTGATTGATATAAATCAGAATGTTTTAATGACAGGTTTCTCCATTCCAAACCAGTCACTTTGAATATTTTTGTTTGCAGCTCAACAATCTGTACAAAAGCAGCAAGGTAAATGAAACATTCACAAATTGTGAGCTCGTATCTTTCAGGTAAGACAAATATCTGTTGAATGTCCAATGTCTGCATTGGATGTTTCTGAATGAACATATTTTGAGGACTGTGAAACCTAATTTGTCCAATCTATCCTCATAACTTAACCTTTGAAGACCGGGTATCATCTCTGTAAACCTGTGTTGTGCTCTGTTCAAGGCCCAAACATCCTGTGGTGCCTAGATCTGCTTGCAGTATTCCTAAGTGGGGTCTAACTAGGCTTTTGTATAACTGCAGCATAACATTTGCATGCCTGTACTCCAAACCTTATGTTTTAATCTAATGAAAAATATAAGCTTTGAACATCTACAAAGTATGGTAATGACACTCACGCCCAACACCATGCAGTTGATCCTGGCAAAACTTTCCAGGGTTGGGGCAATGGGCTGAGCCTCAACACCCAAAAGGTGTTGTTTATGACTGTAGAAGGCAGGATCACTGGTGGACAGCATGGGGTGGCTTCCAAGGAAACAGCTGAATCTGGTCCAGCGGGTCATCTTTCTGGGGTTGCTTTACAAATGTAATAAGGTAAGAGTGGGTGAACCTTGTGAGCTTAGCTGATGGTACACCAAGTCTTAAATGAAAGCTAAGGAACTGGAACTTCTATAGGACTCCCTGTCCAAACTAACTATAGCATTACGCTTCATTGAAACTGACACAAAGAAGTCAACTGACATAGTTGGTGGACTGACTTAATTTTGTATGGATTCTATAAATATCTTCACTTTCATCAGATACTTATTTTTCCCCAATTCTAGCTCAGAAGCAGGTCATTTCAACATCTCAATTTGCATTTCATATTATACTGAAAATTAAGTTGCCAAGTAGATACTTCCTATTTCAATTGGCTCAATTTACCTAAACATCTATATTTTCTGCGGCATTATGTTGTAAGCATCAAGACAATTAGTTATTTTAGAAATGATTCTTATTGCTGGAATGTTTGTATTATCAATCCATATTAGTATTTCAGTGCAAAAAATCAATGCCATATTTCTAATGATTTTAACACTTTTTTCCTTGAACAGTTCTGCGAATCAAGGCAATAGTAAAGTTGAAGCACGCTGTTCTTTTAAAAATAATCCTACCATTCCAGGAGTTGATAAAGTCATTGTTTATAATGAATTCAGAGACAACACTGAGAAAATCACTGCATTAGGAATATATGCATTGAACAAAGACAGCCTCTATGTGGATGGTATGTACTGAGTCAAATTAAATGATTTTCCTTGTAAAATATTGCAATCTTTTCCCAGCTTAAACATAAAATTAGCTGCATCTAAAAGGTTTCCAGCAGTTATGAACCATGCAAACTCCAAAGGTCCCAATGTAACAAAAGGAAAAAACATTGGCAGCCATGCTTTCTACTGATTTCAAATCATCCTCAAAGTTTGTATGGATGACCAAGATGCAGATCACGAGACCAGAAATAACAAATGTTTCATTGTCCATTAACCACCGAAATAAATATAATTGTGAATTTTTTATTAGTCTTTAATAGGTAATGTCCTTGCTGAAACCCTGCACGAGAGATTGACATTTCACCTTTTAATTTCAGGTTATCACGAATTGGAACCAACTACAGCACCAACTATATTGTCACCTGAAGTCCGAGAAGGCGATTTGCCATTTGAGCTTAACTTCACCATAATAAACAGAAATTTCACTGAAGCACTTAATGATCCAAATTCCCGTGAATACCAAAGCATTGTTGCCAATGTTACCAAAATGGTAAGAACTATTTTCCGGTCATTCTTCAAATTTAAACTTGAAGAAAACCAAATGCAAAATTACGTTATTCTCTAAGTGAACGTTCTCTGTACTTTTGTTGACAAACATGTAAACTTTCGACATTTTCTATTTGATTTATTTCTTGAAAAGTTTGCAATGTTTACTTACTAATGTGTATACTTTGCAGCTTGAAGAGTTGTATAAAAACAGTGCTTTAAAGGATAGCTACCGTTTCTGTAAAGTTACAGGACTGAGGTAAGAGGATTTACTTCAAATGTTAAGCATTAAGATAAAACGAAGAATTTACCTTTTAGATTAAGCTCATTAGCAGTAGACCAAACTGAAACCAAATCTGGCATGTGAATTGCTTACCAGTATAATTTTTAAACTTGTATCTGGAGTTAAATTCAACTGTAGATATTATTAGATACTGACAACTTGCAGTTAAACAACTCCTTTATGTAGTGACAGATTTATGGAGCTTAAGATGGTGTTCTGATTAACTATGCCCTGTGAACAGTATTACAACATAACAAACAGAAAATTTAGCCACAGGAGATGTCCTTAAATGTATGCAGACATTTGCAATATATGTTGAATCACTGAATCTTTAATAATACTTCGGAATAATTGTTGTTCCAGTTACTCTGCTTCAATTACTCTGCTCAGTTAAGTTATGAATGATTGAAATCATCATTTTTCCTGCCATTCTTATCAACAGAATTGGATCAGTGAAATGTATCTGCACATGTTACTTTGATCCTTCTGCTGTGAATGAACCAGTGATAGCAGAACAAGTCAAAGCAGAGTTTGCCATGGGAACAAATTCAACAAACTTGCTTGGAAATGTCTACCAGCTGAGAAATACCAGTTTGGCAGTAGGTAAAGTATCGATTTTAATTGTATTTATTTTTAACAATTCTATTATTACAAGTTAATCACTAATTAACAATAATCTGGATGAGTTAATAATTCTGAAGGAAGTGGATAGAGTAATGCTTCTTTGGGAAGAGTGGGGATGTTTTATGTGAGTCATTTAATCATATTGAAAGGGATTGGTTAGTTCCTGTCAAGTAGGCCACATCCCAAGTTTGGCTCCTATTAATAAGTTACATATCTTATTACAGTGGTGGCAATTATAATTTGTTTCATGTAGGCACATTTGTTCACCTAGATTCTGGGAAAGATTTCCAGCAATCATTGGTAATATCAGCTCACTCAGAGATAGTAAGAACTGCAGATGCTGGAGTCAGAGATAACACAGTGTGGAGCTGGATGAACACAGCAGGCCAGGCAGCGTCAGAGGAACATGAAAGTTGATGTTTCGGGTCAGGACCCTTCCCAACCCAAAACGTCAACTTTGCTGCTCCTCTGATGCTGCCTGGCCTGCCGTGTTCATCCAGCTCCACACTGTGTTATCTATTGGTAATATCAATTTGGTTTTAGCTTTTCAGATTTGGGGATTGAGGGAATTAGCAAAAAAAAAAAGTTTTGTAAAGTTAGTTTTTCAAGCAACATTCAAAATTTAACCAATATGACTGCTGCAAAATGTTGAATCACAATTAATTTCCAAAGACATATATTTCCCATGCAAATCTAAGGGAAATTAACACCAAAATGAGCATCTGCAAAACAGCAAAAGTATAACCATACACCCTGAAAGTGAGAAGTGTGAGAATATTTTCAGTAAGGAGTGTGAGACTACTTGGGTTTCACACTTGGTGCAACTAGCCTTGAATTCACAAAGAAGCAGGTTTTCATTGAATAATTGAATGGCCCAGATTTTGTGGTTGAAACAATAGCGAGTCTATCAGTGTTCACCATTGTAAAAGACCAACTTTTGTTTGTGACCAATGTGCCATTAAATGCAAAAATCAGGAAGTCCAAACTCTCCTCCTCCAAAAACTTCACAATAACAGGAAAATAAAACAAAGAATTATGGATGCTGGAAATGCTGAGTTCTTCAACAAGATACTCTTTCACTACAATAGTACCTTGTTGAGCAACTTGGCATTCAAATATGTGCAGTATATGAAATTCAGGTACTTATGTGATAGATACCAACTAAATACACAGAAAAAGTTAGATTTTAATGATCGATTCGTCTTGACTATTTGTTGTCAATCACTATGACACCAAAAGTTGATTCAATTATACAGAGTGTCATTTCTTCAGTTGTTATTTGTATTATAAAAAAATGTATACAAATTTAAATACTTTTCTTTTTGTCCCTTCAATCTCTGATTATAATCCCATATTTTTCATTTATTCATTTTGCTTTCTGCACATGATACGCTGTTAAATTAACAACTATAACTTGTGCATCCCAATTCAGACACTGCAACTACAGTTTTAGTTTCTTCACACCCAGATAGTTACTGCTATAAGTGGCATTCTTCCATCGAAATGGTGTTCATAGCACACGTGCAGATTTCTGGTCTAAGTTGCAGCAGACACGACTTTTCTGAGTAACAGAGTTAACAGGAAGCCTGCCCCGTGGCCTGGAGTCCTACACTACACCTTTGGGGAAGACCCACTATATCAAATGACATGTGAGCAAATGATGCTCACTTAAGGACCTCAACCTACCACCACTAATATTTACCCAGGGACTTTTTCCTTCATAATGAGTGGTCTTTATAGCTATTTTTAAAAATTCAAATCCTTTAAAAATGCAGAGAGAATGCCTTCAATTAAAGCATCTGCCTATCATACTTAATTAGATTGTGAACATGATCTCTGGCTTGTAGAAATATAGAAAATAGAAGTAGGAATAGGCCATTCGGCCCTTCGAGTTTACTTCACCAGTCAGTGTGATCATTCTCTGGATGAAGAAATGTCTCTTCACCTCAGTACTAAGTAGCCTACCCCGTATCCTTAAATTATGACTCCCAGTTCTGGACTTACTCCATCATCAGGAACATCCTTCCCGTATTTAACATGTCTGGCCAATCCAGGCAAAATCTTTGCTAAATATCTGCTTCTGACATAGTGCAGTATCAGAACCTGCATTTGGCTCCAATGTCAGGACTCTCAACCAATAATGGAAAATCCTGTCAGCTACCTCTAGCTCCATTCCTTTTTAACTGCAGTGGCCCCAGTTTAAGTGCAACATTGCAGAATTACGTCACATAATTCTAAATCATTTAGCTAACAGAGCTAGAACTGCACACTAATTTAAAACATGATGCATCCCTGGAGGTGGTTGGGGGTAGCAAATTATTCTTCAGTATTATGTCTAATTGTTCTGAATTTATTTTGTGCAGAAGCTAAAGCACCAGTCTCCAGTGACAGAACAGAAATACCATATTGGGCAATCATATTGATCGTGCTGGGAATACTGCTTATCCTTTTCCTGCTCTTCCTCTTTTGTTTATTAGTAAGTACATCTGATTGTTCAATATCGTGCAATGCCGAACGCTAGAAATGAGAAGCATATAATAGAAAATAACACACTGAATATGAGGGCAGCACCAGCAAGGAGGCAGGATATTTAAGATCATTGATTAATTCAGTGACGGGGATCATTTGTCTTCAAGATTCATTTGAATATTGCATTCTGCACTTGCAATACCAATGTTAAAAAGACTTCTTTTAAAATGGAAAAAAAAGTACTGAAGACACCAGGCAGGACAGACAGCATCTGTGGAAGGAAAAGACAGGTCAATATTGCAGGTAGAGTCTTCCCTTTCAGGATGGGAGGAAAGTAAAAGGTGCATGAGTTGATTTATTGTTATCACATGTACCTAAGTACCGTGAAAAGTTTTGTTTGCATGCAGTACAGGCAGATCATAACATACAAGCACACACAGATCATAGGTGTTTAGATAACGCAAGGGATACAAGGTAGCAGCTGCACAAGAGGTACTCAAAAGCAAGATCAACATTAGATTTGAAATTAGAAAGGTCCATTCAGCAGTCTGATAGCAGCAGGGAAGAAGCTGTTCTTGAACCTGTCGATATGTGTGGCTATCCGACTCGGATGCTACAAATCCCACAGAGATGGTCCCAAGTGTCCCCGGGGCCACCTTGAGGAGGTAGTTCCATAATCAACGGTGTCTTCCTCCCTTGACCACCCTGAATTTTATTATAAATTGCCTTTCTGAAGGCAGCTCCATTTTGAGGGACCCCAAGGAGCCGGCCATATTTCAATTGTACCCACCTCTCCTGGTTGTGTAGTGAGGCATCAGGGTTGCAGATCCTCTGGTTGGATCAGCAGAACCAGGAGCCTGCCTGTTGTTCTGAATTTAAAACATAGAGCTGGACCCACTGCTGGCAAACACAAGCTCAGGTTCCAATTCTCATCCTGACGTCTGGATCCTGAAACTTGCAGTAAAATTTCAGTCCAAATATTTTGTGTCACAGTACATTGTGATCAGTTCCAGTCCTATGCAGGACAATAGACAGCAAGGCTCCTCCACTGGCTCCAATGTGTGGCAATCTTTGCTCCAGCCCAGTTGATTTCCTCCTTTGAACATATCCTCAAAATTATTTTTTTTTAAGCCAGCACCACACTTTTTCTCCCCGATCCAGCAGTGTCCATTCAACTGCCAGTCTTAATTTGCATCTGTTCAGGAGATGAAGTACATATTCTGCCAGAGATAGTAGGAAGTGCAGATGCTGGAGAATCTGAGATAACAAGGTGTA